ACAGAAGCTCAACTATAGCTAGTTGACAGAAGCCTTCAATCTAGAGAGTCTACTATGAGGATTTAGAAAGAAAAGAAAAAAAGCAAATGGTAAGCAATTGAAACAAATGGTCACCAGTAAAGTATTGAGTTGAGCCCAACTAGTTTGTAACTGAAACGTAGTTGACTGATTAAATTGATTTAGGTTCCAAAGATACAAAAACCAGCCAGCCACACAATAGATGTTGCTTTTGCCAATCAATAGATGGCTTTGTACAGAAAACCAAGATAAAAAGGAAGCAACATGTGTGAGGAAGCAACATGTGTTGATATTATAAGCCAATTATTCTCTTTATAAAAGGTTATAGCTAAGCCGAATAAGTTAAAGTGAAACTTTAAAAGAGAAGCAGAAGGAGGAGAAGAAGAAGAAAGCAAGAAACAAACAAAGATAGACGTACTGACCTTGATTATTACTCCCAGTATATAGGCGATTTATTAGTTGCACAGTAGCTTGTTGGGCAGAGGAAGCTTCTCCAGGTGAACGAGCATTGAAACCTAGCATGCTGGGATCAACCCGTAAATCTGAATTCAGATGCTTAAGTTGTGAAATGATTTTTACTGCAACTTGTAGTTCCATGGCATCTTTTTGTGCATTGAACTTTTCCTGCAATCTTTGCTGCATCCTTTCTTCCATTTCCTCCAATTTTTGCTGCATCACCTCATCAGTAGAACTTGAGGGTCCCAAATCTCCCACTTTTCTTTTTAAGGAGGTCTTGGTAACCCCACGTCCATACAATCTTATGCGACCTGGATGCTCAGGTCCCATGACTGATGCAAATGCATCAACTGATTGACTGCCATCTTCACTTTCTTGTGTTGATTGTAGTCTTTCCATTTCAGCCTACAAGACCAAATTGAGTCATTATTAAATCAGAAAGTATATGACACTGAGTCAATAACTAAGAACGGACAAATGATAACAACAAACTTTAAATTAATAACTCGTACAATTTTATTAAGAGTATCTGCATACGAGGCCTTGTATACTCGATCAACTTTTCTTTTTCTCGTAGCCACAAAGAGGTCCTTGCTTGATAGAGGCTCAGAAGTTTCTTTCTTTTTTTCCTGATTATATAAAAAGTGGTATAAAAATATATTGGACTAAAGTTAATAAGTTCATATTTAAAAGAATAATAATAAGAAAAAAAACTATCAAACCTCGCATATTCGAGCAAAACTTCTTTTAGCCAG